AAGAGGTTGAATCAAACAAGAAAAGAAAATGGGGGCTGGGCTAGATAAGCCCATGTGATTGCACAGGATCATCAGTTGCGATTGCAAGGTGCAAACTTTTGCCTTTAGTGCAATTTGATCCTTGAATTTCTTATTTGTTGAGCTGGAGTCCCTTCTTATCTGCAGCTTTGGTCCTTCATATTTGAATCTTACAATTTAATTCTCAACAGTCCACAATTATTCGTAATTGTTTTGATGCAAGTTTCTAAAATCTACAATTGAGTCTCCAAAATTTTCAGATATTGGATTTAGCTCTTGAAACTTATGAATCTCTTCTTGCTATTCTCTTAATTCTTCTAATTGATCACATGTACAATGCGAATAATTTTCAATTGCTCTGAATCCAATTCAATTAAACTCAAAATACCTTTCTCCTAGCCAATTGCACCCAAATTGGGATTTTACCACAATTTACATATTTATCATAATGATAAAATATCGGTGATAGGACAATCCATATTTCTCACATTCTCTCTCTCTCCCTCTCCCTCTCTCTCTCTCTCCATCATAAAAATTGAACTGTTCAATCTCATTATTCTACATAAATTGTTATATTACTGATATTCTATCATCATAATGATATATAACATTATTCATGAATACACTTGTAAATAACAGTAGTTCCCTGCTTATTATGCACCTATAGATTATTGTTGGTGCTTAGTTAAATTAGAAAAATGCTGTGAGTACAGAAGATTTATACAGAATTTCCAATAGAATTTTGAATTTTACTCACATGGGGGGTGGGCTCCATGTGAGTAAAAAATTGATTTTTCTACCCCTCCCCCAATGTACCCCCATGTGAGTAAAAAATTGATTTTTCTACCCCCTCCCCCGATGTGTCTATCCTGTATAGGTACAGGAATTCAAATTCCTGTACCTACAGCAGAATTCTTTAAATTATTCTTTTACAATTGTTTTATGCGTGCACCTACCAAATTTCTGTGGAACGGGTGCTGTGGAAGGACGTGGCTTGCTTTGGACCCAAGTTTACATAGCAGATTCGTAAGAAGATCGATACATTAATAGGTATATTTTATATTCTATCGATTTTTGGTCATGAAAAATGTTCTAAGATTCCAAACAATTTAAAGGCTGTAACTATCAACAGCCACTCCTTTTCAATGTAGTGGGGGTGGGGGCATCTCAATTTGTTTAAATCATTTCAAATTAAAAAAAAAAAAAAACATATATCGATTGAGAGAAATATTTATTTTTTAATGTGTAAACGCGTAACGACGAGACTTTAACACAACTCTGATATCATATAGAATCTAATAGCCTAAACCAACACGAATATTGATTTAGAACAAAATCTCGAAGTTTCAAGATTCTCGGCTTTTATCTTCTTGTGTTCACCTTTAAAAACAATGGTCCCGGTACATGAATGTGTTTAATTTAATGAATCCAAACTTTGGTTGAGGAATCAACATCACTAGCTATATTGGTGGCCTCTTGTAAAATTTCATAATGAAAACTTTAAACAAGCATCTCAGGCAATAATTATCACGAAAGTGCTCGAAAAATAGTTTGTTATAGAATCACCCGTACCGAGTTATCAGTCAATCACATAATAAATATAGAAGTTGTAAAATATACAATCGAGCAAAGTTGATTTATTATTTATTTAATTTCTCAATAAGATTTTGTGCATCAAATTTCAATGAAGGTGAGTTGAGTCAATGTCAAGAAGGTTTATATACATTTCATGTACCTTAAACTATTTCTCCTTAATTGAACAGAATTCCGACTTACAGAATGAACGAAATAAAACAGAATGATAATGGTCAAGATAAGAGTTCGACTATTTCTCCTTGAGACAATAATTCCCCGCATTGGTGTTGAAGATGTTTCGACACTCGTCTTCTAAAATACCCCGACCTGTAATAGTAATATTCCAAATTACAAGATTTGACAAACTTACTAATGTTTTGATCTCTTTAAAATTGGAGGACTTAAATTGCACAAAAATAATATTTGGGACTAAAATGTACAATATGAAATAATACAGGTTGAAAGAATTATATTTTGTAAGAGAGAAAATCAGAAATGATTTTGGAATGAATAAAATCCAGCACATGTGGACCTATTTATAGAAATTGAAAAGTTGTATAAAAAAAACACAATAGTCGAAAAGTTATATCTTGAACAGACACACCCCATTTGGATGGCGATTTAACAATCAATCGCCAAATTCTATAAGATGCCACTTGTTGCGCATAGAAAAATCTAGGGAATAAATAAATATATTATTTTAATTAATAATAAAATATTATTATTTAAATATTATTTTATCAAAAAATATATACCAACTTGGTCCAAGTCCACGACTTGTGCATAGCCAAGCTTGCCGGCTGCGATGGGCGTGTGATTTTGGTTCAACTTAGTAGCATGTAGGTTTTCTCCTCTTCTAATACTATCGGTACTCCTTGGGGTCCAAATCCAAATCTCAAACTTGAGCCATATAATGTGATTTCTACTCTTCTAGTTTTCCTACAAGAGATTGACATTTTTAAATTTTTCATCAATTTTTATTCACAATTTATTTTAACTTCAAGTGGTCATCTTTT